TTGCCTTTTCTCCTTATATGATCAGTATTTAAATTTCACTTTTTTAAATACCACTGGTGCAGATATCAGAATTTCTTTGCATTTCATATCAATGATTTATTCATGATCTTGACATTGTTGCTCATAATTAAGGACCTCACCTCTGTCAAATGAACAAATTCTTGCCGGAAAACCCAGAGTTAACTGAAACAATTGATAACCAGCTTCATAGAACACGTTATCATCACAGTCATTAGATAATGAAAAATATGTGCTGACCCTGGTGTGATAACTCACTTTGTTTTCCATTATTGATGGTAAAGTGATTGGTTTGGACAGAGGTGTGTACACATCTCCATACATTAAGATACAAAGACAGAAACAGATATTACATATCTTGGAGTTATACCCCTTGAAAACATGTGGCAGTTAATTAGTATGTAAATACCATTTCTGGGGTCCACAGACAGAGGTAAAAAATAATGTAATCAATCACATGTTGTTGTCAGACCCTCCTCATCTGGTGAACATCTGCATATTTCAAAGTTACAAACAGAGGGTGTCAACACAAAACATTACCTAATTACATGTCATGAGTTAGAGAGTGAATTAGGAAGTGGATCAAGTGAATTTCTGAACCATGAATGAACCTCCACCCAATAAGAAGTCATTCATGGAACATGAGACACCAACATGACATTATTTTGCCCAATCATTTGCTAATTTGATTTGAAATAAATATGGCTGTTTGGATGATAAGAAATGACTTGTAATCTGACTGTGCATTGCTATTTCTAAATTAAGTGATATTCTCTCATATGTCTGATGGTTAAACTACATGGTACCTGGCCATAAAGTATTTACAATTGGGTCTTGAATGCAGCATCACTGCAAGTGGCTATTTGCAGTGTTGTGCCAGTTCACACTTAAAAGAACGAGTTCAAAGTTTTTTTTATTGGGATGATTCAGAAACAAAGTCACAATCATGTGTTTAATTATTAATCAATGGTGCATGTCGCTCCGGTCATTTTTATTAGTCCTGACTGTGAGCGTCTCGTGTTGTACCAAGCACAAAAGGTTGATGAGTCATTTTTCATGATGTTTAAATGTTGTACTTTTTGCTGTGGTGCCAAAAATGTTGAAATGATGTGCTGTCACATTTTAATATTAAAAGCGGAAATAAAAGCTACCTTCAAATAGTCCCACTACATTGTGAAATCATTAAATACAGGTACCTGTGGGTTTACTCCGGGTGCTGCCGTCTCTTCCACACAGAGGGTTGAGTGTTGATACAACTTTAATGCTTATATCAATTCTTTTTAAACGTTATAAAAGTCAAAACTTTACAGAAAAATCTATCACAATCTATAATCACTGAATTTTCAATTAAGATGAAACACACAAACATGAAACCGACTCTTTCCCAGATGAATGATAATGCTCACAAACTAATGATGGAATAATGCCCAAAAAATATGATAGGCATACATTTACAATGCTAACAGACAGGGTAATAAGATAACTGAGAAAAGAGAAGGGAGACATCATCACATCATTGAAAATTCTGCTTGTAACTAAAAAAGTTTGGTGTCTGATTCAAACGGACTGGTGAAAACTAACAAAGCCAATTGTTTGATGAGTCAGTGGCCGCCATAGCCTGGAGTTTCCAAGTCCAAAGCAATGTACGCACCATCACTACCAACAAACCAGCACTTCTACCAAGAACTGTATCTCAGACATAGGTTTTAAAGGTAAGTGCATTTCGTAAGCAATCAAGGGCTATGGATGTATATGGTATGGACACATAAATGCTGAAACAGATCAATCCCTCAATAGGGGGTGACCCTCTTCTGACTCTCAACTGCAGGTCCATCAGTGTCTTACCCATAGTATGGAATGGATATGAAATACAGGTTGGCAAACAAATCATTACTTATTTAAACAATAGCTCCTTCCCCCTGCACTCAATGTAAGTTTGGATTTTGGGCTAATCACTCAACAGAAACACTTACAACAGTTGTGGGTAACTTCACAGAAAAGTTATGTCACTAGACAAAGTTGAGGTTGTAGGGACCATGCTTTCAGAACTCGGATATCCATTCGACACAATCATCAAATCTTACTACATAAACCACACAGTTTCAGTTTTGATTGTGAAACTCATCAAATCTTATCATGAAAACACTTTTTTGGGGTAGTTGTTCCTCACTCTTGTTGAGGGCTAAGGACAGAGGTTGTCACACCTTGTTAAGCCCTATGAGGAAAACTGATTCGTGAATATTGACTGAATTTTAATAGATCCTGATTTTTTTTCAGATATACACCAAATTTCATGCACTCATACATATCAGTCCCCTAAACAATTATCAAAATCAAACATGACATGGATTATGAGTTGTTATACAGATTTTAATGGGACCACTACTGGTATGCATGCATAAAATCCAGTATGAACTATTGACCACTGTCCCTAGTTTGCCATCAGGGGGCACCAGTGTTGTGTTTTGCAATGCATTTGACAAACATGTTTTAGTTAATTGAATCTCACACATTTCTATTGTCAACAACAGCTGTGTCCTCTTAGTAGTTTAGTGTTTACTTATTAATTGTAAGAGTGGCACTTGATTACAACTTGGCCAGTATGTGTGTTGAATATCAGCTGGGATTGGCTCCAGCTCCCCCTGCGACCTTCAAAGTATAAGTGGTACAGCTAATGGGTGAATTGATGAAGTGGTACCCAGGTCCAGCTTGATTTGTATGGTTTGTATCTCTGCAAACTGAAGATCTTTGGGATTTGGATTGATGGTAAGACTGATTGTTTAAACTGATTGTCTGGTTCACTAACTAGCACATTACAGTTTGCTCTCTAGGACAGAGATGATCCAAGAAGCACAGTCTCCCACCAAGGACTGTTTGTTTTCTGAGTAGACCCAATAGAACGGTGAATTACTGAATTAATAATCTGTTATTGTTGCTTGCTGTTGATTGCATTTTAACTGATATTTTTTAAAATGTGATACACCTTTACTATAATCTTTCATTTTTTTGTTTTAATTTTATAATTTCTTTATTTAAAATAGGCATCTTTATGAAAAGTAATTTGACTTTAAAGTGTTAATATGAATTGATGACATTTCTATGACTAATATACTTATTAATTTTTGCATACAAATTGGTAATATTGATCTTGGAATGCACAAGGTGATTTAAACTAATACAAGTGTCCCAGATTAAGTCACAGAAGTCAAAATTGCAAAAGATTTCCCAGATTACCCAAATTCACATAATGCTGAAGAGTTTAGTAGGATAGCCATTTTATGAGTGTTAAATCCAGCCAAAGTAATAAAAAAATGAATTATGTATTGTTCACTGCTGGAAAAATTGGAATGACTAAATCTAAACAAAATATATACCCAGAATTATAAATTGAATTTTTCTTAATTTAGAATAAAAATTTGGTCAAGTTTCTGAATTTTCTTCTGTAAATTAGAAAAAGGAGCATCTGCTAATTGAGTTATATATACACATATATATATATATACATACTGTATATATCACGTTGCACTCACTCTCCTCCTCCTCCTGTAGTAGTTTCAACAGGGTGGTCCTTGCTCCACCAGCCAGTTATCGCAGAGCTGTGTGTTGGAGGCAGAACCCGATTGGTTGAAAGCAGTAGACTGTTGCCATGCAGACAGCCTATTGGTCAGTCAGCTTATGCTGACGCTGGAGACCCGCCTGTTTTTTCCCCCGTCGGTGAGGACGTTGTCTCCATCCAGAGCAAAAGGGGAACCAGCAGGAAACAAGGAGTCTGGTGGAAGGCTGGGAGGAAGAAAAGAGGGGAATCCCGAGCTGCTTCCCCGGGATTAAACTCATGTTCCAGCGGGAGATCACAGCTGTCAGGACCGCCACTTCTCTCACGGTACGTCGTCCCCTACTTGTGTTTCAGTGGTTTGATAGTTTGACTGAGCCCTCTGCTCCGAGACCCACTGGTGTCAGATGACACGAGAATCATCCTCCTCTCGTTTCCTATATATGCAACATTCATGTGTAGACCAGACCTTGATTGTAGTGATAACTGTGCAGGGACAGTAGCTGTGTTGTTGTGGTGCTATGAGGAAAAAGCCCTTTCTTGTTTTTTAAAGCTACTGTGAAGTTTACACACTCGGGCTCCTTTCTTTCCTGAATGATTTGAAGTCATTCTTATGGATTTAAGTCGACCTGCAATGTAAGGAGCATGGTCAGGGAGTTCCAGGAGTAGCCTATAGTAGTTGTTAAAGTGGGGGAGTCCAGTGGATCCTGAAAGGGCACAGTTAGATTGTCACAGCTGCCTTATTCTGCAGAAGAGACAATCTGAAAAATCCATTGCTGGAAGGTAAGTGTAGCTTAATCATTAGCTACTTGCATAAAGTCTCATGGCTAACAGTGCACGAATGTTGACAGCATTTAATGAGGGATTTTTCCCGGAGCTGCTGGAGTTAATTACACTAATAATCCAGAAGACAGAATGTCTAAACTGTGGAATGTGAAATGTAACCTGACCACGGGCTCCCAGCTCCTTTAAAAAACAGAGCAAACCACCTTCAATGATTGGAAATATGCTGAGATGCCATCTTCTCGGTTGTGGTGGTCCTGGACGAGCTTTTACGTGAAGGAGGTAGGACAGGGCTTGCCCCATGTTATGCCTCTCATGGACATTCAAGATCAATCTCTGGAAAACCAAAGCTGCAATTCCACCACAAGAACTTTCCCCCAGGAGCTAGGAACCTTTGCAGGAACCCTGCGTTTCCACTCAAGGGTGTAAATCAGGTTCCGGGTAACTCTTTTTTTCCTCCCAAAAGTCCATGCTTGGACAGAGATTTCTGTGTTGTGGAGAATCTCCTGCTGCGTCGTTCATATGTGAAAGGCAACCTCCGTAGAAAGTCCAGGCACAAGCAATCCTGCGAGCCACTTTGGTTCCACTTGTTCTCTTCTTACGTAATGTCTCAACTTCCTGCAATTGGTCCAAATTCCAAACTATCCAAAACAGTGTTTTGACACTGTAAATGATCCGAATGATGGTTTGTTTGATCCAGACCAAGACCAAGTCTTTTGGTTGGACAAACTTTTGGACTTTTTATCTGGACCATGGTCAAATGCAAATTAGGTATGTGTGAACGTTGTCTAAAAATTCTTGGCACTTTTGACCTTTTGATTAATGTGATGAAATATTTTGGGTAAATGTATACTAGTATGTATACACAGATTAAGTTGAATGATGTTCTTTTGTAGGTGTCAATGAAACTGCTAGATTTAATTAAACTGCAGGTTTATTCCCCTTTTCTTGCCACCAATTTCTGCTCGAGTGCTTATATTTACATTTAGTAAGAGAAAGTAAGACTCGACCCTTCAGCTGAAGTCACTTCCTGGGAGACCGGATTGTCTGTAGACAGCTGTTGAAATATTGATCTTCCAAACCCCCTTGCTTTTGAGGTGGTTAGATTTGCCTCTGACTGTTTAAAAAAAGTCCTTACATCATCTCCTAACCAAAAAGGAATGGAAAAGATGCATCATGAGAACAACAGAAAGTAACTTTAGGCTAGTTTCTAATCGGAATATTTGATGTTAAGATGCGAGATGGATCGTGAAGCTGTGGGGGTTTTCCTCACAGTATATCATGCTACGGTGTCCTGAGGTTTAACGCAGCAGACAGCACCATCTGTTTTGCTTCCTGTAGCTAACTGCTGTGTTTGTGTGACTACGAGGACAGTCTGCACTGCTCTGTCTTCGATTTCATCCTCCACCGCCAGCTCTCTCACATTCTCCTGTCCTCCACTTGATTCAGTTTCATCTCCCTTATTTATCTGTCTCTCTTGTAAACGCACATACACTAATGAGCAGGCAACTCACACACACGCACACACACTCACACACACAAGCACACACACACACACACACAGGCTTCAGACTGTTGTGTGAGTTGTGGTTGTCATGGAAACAGTCTCTGAAGGCAATAGACATGTGCTCCTTCTTCAGACACCATGTCTGATCTCTATCTCTCTCTTTGTCTGTACTATTATAGACTGGTCCCCTGCAGGATAGACAGTTTAACATGGGCTCAACAAGAATACTTTTTGAGGTCTATGTTAGCTACTATTTCCTTCTGTTGTGATGTCAGAAGATTGTCTTTCTCAGTTTTACCTGATGTGTTTTGTTCCTGGAAGTAAAATACCATAATACTACTAGGAATTACATTGTGGCTTTTGCCCATGGATACATTCATTTTAATAAGGCTGCAACTAATATACATTTTCAGTGTGCTGACTGAAATATGGATTTCCAGGAATGTTGGTGCAGATTTTATGTGATGGAAGAAGACACAGAGCGCTAACTTTAGTGGAAGTACCAGTGCTAGGAAAGGTAGCTAGCATTGTCAAACGCTTTCATACTTTGTAAAATGTACATTAGACATTATAGTAATTATATATTTCCTATCATAGATGTTTCTGTAGCTGATACAGAAGTACCTTGTGATTATAAAGCAGTAATATTAGGTTGTAGCACATCAAAGTGGATCTACTTTAATATTTATGTAGTTGTTCAGTCCACTAGTTCACAAACTAGTGGCCATTCCAAAAAAGTCATGAGATAAATCTGAGGTGATGGCAAATGTGTTAAATTCAGAGGCTGTCCTGGGTGACGTACTGTTGTCTCTCTCTGCTGGGAGATATTCTCTGTACCAGTATTATTCCCATGAACATACCTACGCCTGTAAGAAGGCAGGGAACACATGGAGCAAAGGGCCGGGTTGGAGCTGAACCTGCGGCCGCTGCAGGAGCACTCAAGAGTCCGTATGCTGGGCACCTTTGCAACCAGGTTTCTGCCTTTAGCTTTAAATGGTCAGACTGTGCTCGACTTGCTGGTCTTGGTGACACAATGTGTTTAATACTTCAAGTGGGCATCAAACAACACTCACACACTCTTTTTTATGTAATGTTTGCATGCCTATTGCTATATGTATGGGACAGAATGTCATTACTCACTGAGAGACGTTTCTACCATGGAAACTACACAGTTCTGAGCACTGCTTGTCTTCGTGTCTGGTCTTTGTGTGGCCTGTGAATATCCACCAGACCTTTTGTTTGTCTGTCTTCCTGTGTGGAATATCAACATCCTCTTATGCTTCACCCCACCCAGTGAAACCAAAGTAGCCAAATCTCTTTACTACCTCTGTCTGCTGCAACACACTCTCTGTCTCATAACTAATCCTTGTCCGTTCAAACTGCGCCTTTTATGTCTGTGGAAGACAGTCTGTGCATTTTTCTAACTGTGAAGCAGATCAGCCTCTTTAGGACTGCACCATGGTAAGAATGCGGTCTTATTTGTTCTGGTGTGGTTAGTATGTAGCTGAGAGCTTGTATGCCAGGCTGATGGTGTACCCTCAGCCACTGTGCCTAGTTAAACACATTCCAATCCTCTCAAATTGTTTAGATTACTCTCTGCATCTCCTTTCTCTCTCATCCTCTTTGTTTTTTTACTCTCCCTCAGTTCACTTGTTGTTACTGTTCTGCCTCCAATTTCTCAATCAGTCTCTCCTTGGTTGCTCTGCACCCTCCCTTCCCATCTCTGTGTGTTTTCTCTCCAGCTCAGTGACTGTCAGGCCTCTTTCCAGTCTTGGCATTCAAGTCTTTGTCAGCATAGGTTTTCGTAACTGACTTGTGTGATCCAAAGACTGCTTTTTGAATGACCTTGCAGTGCATCCTGGCCTCCACTCATTCACACTTTCAGCTTCACCATTAACTCTAAAGGATGCATCCAGTAATGGTACATGACATCACTTCTAGCTCTATTTGGGGTTAACGTTATTGCATTTACTTTTGTTGTTGCTCTCATTGACGAACTCCCCTGAGGTCCATCCGTCATCTAACAACATTAATATAAGGATATGATTCTAACAAAGTCAGGGTTTGGGGTCAGGTTCAAGTCATTTAGTCACACAATTCTTCAGGTCTGAGCCAGATTTATTATTTTAGTTATTATTATTAGTTATGCTATTTCCCAAGGTGGTTTATTAAGAAACGTCTGTGTGCTTTTGATTCATAAGTGAAATTATGCAGAGCATACAAGCTTTTCGATTTTGAATGTAATTTATTCACCTGCCTTTGCACAGATTTTATTTGGATATTATAGGATTGTCACTTAAGTAACTGCAAACAATAGCATTGGTTTATTTAAGATGTCAACAATGTTATTACAGTGACATTCTTGCCATAACTTTGTCTCGTCTGTTTACACCGACGACTACTGATGATGTGTCAGGTTTTCGTAGAAGTGTGCTGATGATGTAATGGCTTCTTGAAGGGCTGTCCCAATTCATAGAGGAAGATTTCAACCACTCCCCTTGTGACTCCGTTTCAAGGGGCAAGATAACCCTCGAAAACAAGGGGTAGGGAGAAGGGGTGAAATGGGATTGTGCTCTGCTTTAGCGGCACTGCTTTGAATGCTGGGTAATTCCAGTATATAGCTGCTCAAATCAAGACTGGAAAATACTTTGTCCCACACCAACAGGAGCTGGGCTTTAGAACCTTGAGCCTTTTAGCTGTAAGATGATTCACCCTAACGCAGAAGTGTATGGCCCAGTGTAGATGTAGATGAAACCCAGAGGTCTTATTGACTGCATCAAATGTTGATAAACAGAAACAGAAGCAGAATAGAGTGCCGCATTGTGAGTGTAGGCAGTGTCTTAATCTTGCAGGGTGTGTGTTTCCATCTGAGTGGAAGTTTGTGTGTGTCTGTCTATGTTTAGCTGTGTTTGTTTAGTACTTGGTAATTATGGCTGGAAGCAGAGTTTGAGTTAGGGCAAGCAGAGGAATGTCTTTAGTCTGCTCCTGTCACTAAGACTTAACTATGGGCTTTATAAATACTAGATCCAGCTTGTGTGGA